GAATTAGTTTAAATTGCAATGATATTTCACAATATTACTGTTTTAATTGCATGTTTAATCAAATAAATGCAGTGTTTATAAGCATAAGAGGCTCAAAAACATTAAAAAAATATCTTACTGACTCAAAACTTTTAAATGGTGAATACAATCTTTTTCCCTTGAAAAAAAGCAGAGATCATTATCATCTGAAGGAAAATTGCATTTCCCATTAAACAGTATTTTCTGTATTCTGAGCAATTATGTGTCATTAAATTGCTGTTTTACAGTCTTTATGGCTTTCTGAAGGAATTAGTTGTCTTAATGAATTGTTGGATTGTAATAAAACAAAAGCATATCTTCCCATAAAACCTTCCCATTTAAAAGAGACCTGGAGCTTTTTTCTCTTCACAACATTAATTGATGGCTGAGTGCAGATGCTGGGCTTGACCTCTGCATTAGATTAGTCCCTACCATAGACTGCTCCCTCCTGTTTCTTCAGGGAGAGAAAATGGGAATCGTGACTCTTAGGTCATGCACAGACTGTAAAGTTTTGGGATTGGCAACCATGTGCTGTAATCATCTTGTTTCAACCACCTTGGTTTAGTGTTAGCTATTTTTGAGACTGTGTAGACAGTAAAATCCCTCGACAATTAGCTTCATTTCCCAATCAGCCTTTTTGTTTTCTTTTTTTGTATTCACTCACGCATGCTTTGATCTGATGAAAATGCACCTGGACCTCTCACAGAGATGCCATTTACCACGCACAGTTCTGAGGACAGACAGTCCAGTTGTCTAGATCACAATGCCCTGAAGCTGAATTTTCAAAGCTAGGTTGGAAACATGTTGAGGTATAAGGCCAACAGTCTGTTTTACTATTATGTGAACTGTCTGCTTTGATTCTTTGGTTCTTAAAATGACATTGCTTGAAGGTTTCTGAACATTCAGAGCTATTCATAATCAGGGTGTTAATGGTCAGTACCGGTTATGTTGGGATCATGAAGGTGGACTGGTCCAACAACTGATAAGTTGATTAGTCAGGTGGACAAGCTTTATATAATTAGTTTTATATATTGTTATTCAGAGTCATGATTGATTATTCAAATTTAAAAATACCTATGTTAGCCTATCTGCTTTATTTTTTCTGGCTTCTATGTTTTTAATATAAAGTTATTATCAAAAAATAAATAATTTAATTAAAAATGTATTTAATTAAATTAATTAATTTAAAATTTCATTTAAATGTAATAAAATTTAATGAATCTTTTTAATTATTTTTTTTATGTAATCAAATGAAATGATAACAATTCATTTAATTTTTTGGCAAAATAAGTGCTGCACAACTGAGGTTTACCATTTTAATCAAAACGTGGATGGAAAATTGTGTGATAATCGTTCAGATATAATGTTTTAATAAATTGTATTATTGTTATTGTTATTATTACTTTGAGAAGTAAGTCATACTTTCTTCAAATTAAACCAAATGTTTATTTTGGTAGGTTGTAATGAAAACGTTTGAGTTTCCTTTAGGGCTGCAAATCGATTAATTGGATTAATCGCATTCAAAATAAAAGTTTGTTTACATACTATATGTGTGTGTACTGTGTATATTTATTATGTATATATAAGTACACACACACACACATACAGTATATATGTTGAAAATACATACGTGACCCTGGACCACAAATAATTTATATTATATATAAATATAAATATTTTATATATAAATCTAACATCTTTTTCCTATATATGCGTGTGTATTTATATATACATAATAAATATACACAGTACACACACATATGTAAACATAAACTTTTATTTTGAGTGTGATTAATCGCTTTGCAGCCCGAGTTTCCTTGTGTATCTGACAATAGTTTTATAAAATTAAATGCTTGTGAAGTGACTCTCAAAGCATGAGAGATGAAGTTCATGTGTTCACATCCTTATGAAGCGAGAGGGTAGATGCTGAAAACACCGTAAGTGTGCGTACTTGAGTATAGTAGACAAAACTGTCACTCATTTACACATTGACATGCAGCACATGGAGACGTTTTGTTATTTAATATTCCCAGACATTAATCCATAATGCGATTTGATTAAGTGTACAGCCTTACTTTTGATTTATTCATCCACATTTTGTCAAATTCCATTATATTCAGTGTTTTACATTGAATTCCATTTTTATGACTGGATTCCGCAATTCTGTCTAGGTTTTCAGCATCACGGAAATCATGGGCCCAAGATAACACTCGATTTACTACAATGACAAGGGAAAATGTTTTTCAGCCTTTCGTCTTGCAAAATGTTGTACAGGAAGCATGTAATAGCTCAGAGCATAAGATGCAGCCTGTGGAAGAAAGAGTTTGATTTCAAATAAACAAGCGAAGAAAAACATTTGCTCTCCGGGTGAGAGACTGATTGATATGGCCAATTTACAGCTTTTGAGGAGTTTAGCACTCAGCCTTCATCTCTCGCCCCTTTGCCGCACACTCCCTTTCTTTCCCTCATTGTTTCTCTCTCTCACACACTCCTCAGCACAATGTGACAACTCCCCAAAGTTGTTTGCCTCAGTTTTCCCATTGTTCTGTCACATAATGGAGGCATATGGCACAAGGAATCATGGGAATGCTAATGGATTCTTAACACGGAGTTAATACTTTATTTGGAATCGGCGTAGAAGGCAGCCCGGCTCAAAACAAGTCTTCTCCACTCACTTACTCTTTTATGATCTCAGGTGTATCTGCTGAAATAAAGCAGCCTCTTATGAGAAGAGGTATTGAGGTTGAACGGGGACAGTTTATGTCGTGATTTGTTGGGAGAAAAATCTTCTAATAACAAAACCAGAGTAAAATGTATTTGTGCAACTCTTGTAGAAAGCAAATAGACAATTGAATGGATCATGTCTCAAATGGACACGAACACCTACTAACATTACCTTGCTGCTATTCTATATTCAACATGCAGAATTGTCTTTCATTTCCAAGGAAAAGATCTTTAAGACTTCCGCAGTAGCATGATGAGACATGGTAAGTTTGGTTATTGTCAAACTGAGTGTCAATTCGGTTTGTTTCCTATCAAGGACAAAAGCGACGGATATTGAATCCTTGAGCGAGTGTGTGCACACACCTACGCAGGTGTTTATTGGAGTGGCACCTCAACAAAATATTCCGTGAAATGAACCTGTCTCCTTGAGACATGTTAAAGTCGATAAGGACTGTAAGATGAGTACTGATTTAAGGTCAAAGCTGAGGAAAGAACTTGAATACATTCTACCACATTCATTTTGATCTGAGCTGTGTGAAACAAGGCTAATGTGTTGTATGCTGTAACGCTTCACCATTAGCTTTGAAATATGTGTATGAAAAGTTGAGTCTGTGAGACTTTGAGTCTTTCTGTTTAGTTTTAGGGTTTAAGTATTTAAAGTGATTCTACAAAAACACTAATAATTACAGCAAAACTCAAAAGACGATCCATTATGTCGTGATGCCTAAATAGCATTAAAATTAATTATTTAAGTTTTAAATTTTAATTTTTTTTGTCAAAATATATTGAAATTTTTAATATTGGCCATTAGGGGTGGGCGATATGACCAAATTCTTATATCACACTATGAGTAATTATATTTCACAGTAACATTATATATCACAATATACAGTAGTTATTTTTGCTTTAAATAAGGTCTTTATGATATCAAAATTTTTGATACCATAAAAATTTCATAATTTTTGTCACCAGTGTCAATATCACAAAATACTAATACTAGCCTAAATAAAAAAATAATGAATAAATAAAATAAAAAAAAACACTCAAG